TGGACATGGTGACATATGCCTATAATCTTAGCTACTTGGAAGGCTGAGGTAAGAGAATAGCAAGGTCAAGGCCAGCACTGGAAACTCAGAGAGACTGTCTCAAATCAGAAAAGGAAAAACAAGTCAAACAATCAAAACACGAAAGGGCTGGGGAGAATACTTGTCTAGTATACGTGAGGCCCTAGGTTTAATCTCCAGCGTGAAGTAAAGAAAGAGGGAAACCAGGGAGGAAAGATGGAAGGAGAGAGAGAGGGAAGAAGGAAGGAAGAAGGAAGGAAGGAGGAAGGAAGGAGGAAGGAAGGGGGAAGGAAGGGGGGAAGGAAGGAAGGAAGGGAGGGAGGGAGAGAGGAGGAGAAAGATTCCTTTAAGTTGGAGAGTTATACTCCAGGTTACTTTGGCTAATTCCAAGATTCAAGTTCTTTCCCTGAGAAAGAAAAGCCACTTAAATGCAATTATGTTCCTCTTAGAATGGGAAATATATAGATAATTCTATCCCATCACATCATTACCTGAGCAATTCAGCATGGCACCTGGGTACTGATAGTCAATAGGCAGGTGTGGGAAATGACAATATTAAGTTCTATCTTTTTATTTTTATCAAAAGCATTACATACTGCCACAGATTAACATAGGTTTCAGATTCAGGCAAATGAAAAGGAAAAAAACACTAAGTATATAATATCCTTATATGCATGTATATCTACATATCTAGATATATCTAAATAGATATTTAGATATAGAGCTATATATGAGATAGATAGAGGTAGCTAGTATCAGGCACGATAGCACATATTTGTAATTCCATGTACTTGGGAGGCTGTGGCATAAAAATCACAAGTTCAATGATTTGTTCCTATAAATGACTGCCCAGCTTTGGCAGCTTAAGGAGACCCTATCTCAAAATTTTAAAAAGGACTGGGGATGTACCTCAGTGGTACAGCACTTACCTAGCAGGCACTGTCAAATACATAAATATATTATATTAAAGATATATATATGTAACAGTATGCCCACACTCAAGATTGGCTCTGTGAAAAAGGAAGTGATGCCACCTTTACTACACTATACTATATGCATCTCCAGAGGACACACACATAGCCTCCTAAGACCAAACCAGCCCTTACTTCTTATGGCCAAAACTCATCCTTTTTTAGGGCTTTGTGTACAAAACATGCAAGGGCTGTTTCTACAACCTGCTTTTACTATAAATAACTGCCCAACAAAATAAAAACTAATGATTGGGCCGGGGATTTAGCTCAGTGATTCCGTCACCTGCCTCATAAGCACAAGGTCCCAAGTTCGATCCCCGGTACAAAAAAAACCCAAAAAAACTAATGATTAACTTTTACTCCCTGGAAGTCACTGAGTAAGAAAAAGACATTTCCTAAATGCCCACTGCATAGAGAGAACTTATTTTTCCCAACCTCTCCAAAGAAGCTTTAAAATTATTTGCCATGATAAGTTAGTCTTGGAGTAAACAGAAATACGTGACACTAAAGAGATCAGTTAGGTAGGGGAAAGGATAGAAGGGCATGGGATTAATATGAGAAAATGGAAAAATAGGAACAAAATCTTTGTAAATAGAGAGGAATGGAGGGGTTGAAGGGAGGGCTGGGCAAGGGTGAAAAATAAGAACCAAGAGCGACTATGTAAAGGTGCAAATTTCCAATGATGAAAGTCATTATATTGTATACCTAAAATGTACCAAGGATTAGAATGAATAATCGATAAGGCAAAATAGGAAGAAAATGTCCAAAGGGGTAGGGGTAGTGGGAGGGGCAGGGGAAAGGAAAGAAGGGAAAGGAAAAATGCTGAGAAATGGAAAAAATGGAAATAAAGTCTTTGTAAATAGGGAAGGGTGGAGGGGGTGAAGGGAGGGCTACAAATGGGGAAAAAATAAGAACCAAGATGCATTATGTAAAGGTACAGTTCCCAATGAGAAATGTAATTGTGTTGTATACACAAAATGTACCAATAAAAGAATTTAACAAAAAATAAATACATAAAATAAAAGAGGTCAGTTACTGGGTGGAAATGTTTACTAATCATGTAAATTATTTTGAGTCAAAACTTCCCCTGAAAATGTCTGCTTCTAACCAGCCTTTGCTTCTGAAACTTCTGGAGTGTGGATAGTGACGAATTGCCCCATTCTATGTATCTAGAAGTGGCATTACTGCAAGATAAAAGACTATACACCAGGTTCTTTGCTAAGCACTAGAGGTCATTAGAGAAGAAAGGGCAATAAATTATTATGTCAAAGATAAATAGGAATGAAGCAGACCAGATGAGAACTACTATAGCTACGAAGAAATGAAGAGCTCAAATCCAAAATGGAAGCCTAAACAGGTGAACCTGTTTTCTCTACAGTGTGATTTAAGTGGCCACAGTTGCTAAATAGAACTTTCAATAGACACACGCCTAAAGAAACAAAAAACTAGAGTTTAAGATGCTCTAAGGATCAGAAACCATGGTAAAAGCCCTAGACTTCTGGTTGGCACCCTGGAGAACTCTAGGATCAATTACAAATAGACTTGTCCTCATAGGGACTAAAGATCAGCTTCAGATTATCTCGATTCCTAACTGGATTAACCTAAAATGAAACAACTTTCCAGAAGCAAAAGTAAATACTCTGGAGAAAGATCACATTACTTAGATCTCAAATAATCTCTACAATTTTTAACATAAAATGTTTAGTACTGAATCAAAAATAGGCATGTGAGAAAACAAGATATGACCAAAAACCAAGAACAAATGAAACAGAAATTTAAAAATCAGGTGTTCATTATCAGAAACAGACATTAAAATATGATCCCCCCCTAAAAAAAATCCTCAGTGAAATAGCACTACACACTTGACCAGAGCAGCTGAAATTAAAAATACTGACAATACCCAGAGTTCACAAGGTTTTTGTTCTTTATCTTAAGCTAGAAAAGGAAGTAAATATAATATGTTAACACATCTTAACTCTAAGTGTTAAATACATGTGAATCTGTTATACATTCTTTTCTGTAATCTTCTCATTTTTGTGACATTTCATAATTAAATGTTTAAAAAAGAAGAAAAAGGCATGGCTAGAAGAGAGATCAGCAAGAGCTAAATTATTTTAACCTTCAGAAATCATATTCAAGATTCTGCAGACAATATGAAGTCACTCAAGGATCTTAAACAAGGAAGTGACAGTATTGGGTTTGTTCCATATAAAGGTCATTCCAGTTGCAAAATAGCAGAGTGAAATCAGGGAGCTCAACCGGGAGGCTGATGTACTAATTCAAAGGAAAGATGATAATAATTTGTCCACTAGAAATGAAGAAAAGTTGTAAAGATCTGAATGATGAAGTGAGTTTTCCTTGGATTTCAAATGGGTTGAGAATTTTAACCCAATCAAATCAGGAAGCAAGTGAGGCCTCTGTGACAAAGATAAATCTAAAATAGGTACAATATCAGTAGAGCAAAGGCAACATCCAGGGCAGAGTTTAGGGGCGGCGAAATTAAAAATCTGATTTTTTCTGTAAGTCCTTAGAAGAACACAAGCAGTTATAAAACTGAAAGCTAATAAGAACTGAGCTCAATAACAGATGGTCAGATAGATACATTCACAATGTGCCAGAATTCTAAAGCCTTGTGCATACCCTTCCAAACATGCAGATGCTTTTGTCAGAGAGGGAAAAAAAAAATTCTATTTCTGATTCTGACAGCAAATGCCAAGTCATATCTTGCCAGTAGGGGATGGCAACCACAAACTCACAGAGAATTTCACAACCTTATTCTCATTTGGAAAGACAGGTTGTCTTTGACCACTATGTCCATCAGCCCTGCCAGAAAGTAAAGGAAAATGAAAGGGAATGACAATTTCTGAAAAACTCAGCTTTTTCATCTGCACCCAAAAAAGTAGATCTCTGTTTCTAGATTATCCAGGAACAGCCCACGTGTTTTTCTGTGAAGACAAATTAAGCATATCAAACAGAAACTTATCTGCACTTCCTGAAAAATGGCCTGAGGCATAGAGTCTGACAAATTATTCAATTAGTCTGAGTTGTTTAACCTTCCAATGAGATGAGACTGAGGAATGAATTTTATCGTTATCTTCTGTGCCTTTGTAAACAGTTAAAGTTTTGAATCAAGCACAGTGAATTCCCAGTATAGCTAGTTTTAGTATCATTCTTTGGTCTGATTTATAATGTCTAGTTTGCTAGAAATGAGATTTTTACATACTTGTCCCCAATCTGTTTACACAACAAAAAATATTCAGAGACTTTTCTTTTTAAAGGGAGCACTTTTAAACATACGCTCATCTGGTGTCTCAATTTTTATAAATTTCAAAAGGTGAGTTTGCTTTTATAGGCAGGGTAGTAAACTAGTTTCACTCAACATTCCTTACATACCAAAATAAGTAAAACTTAAAGTTGCCTTCTATTCCCAACATACATGAGGCATTAGCCTGTCACACAAAGAGGTTCAAGAAAGAATCATTAAGTAACTAAACTTGACTCAAATTTTACTCAAGAAAGTGTTCTTGTTTTCTCAGAATAATGCTGTTGAAATCAAAATTTCAACCCATCAAAATTCAGGCAACTAGTTACATGAAAAATACCATCTAGCAGATCTTAATAATTCACCCTACAATATTTATGAACTTTGCACACATATCACACTTTGATCAAAGTTTTTATGGCGCTGAGTATAATTTATAGCTATAGGCAGATTCTCCTTAATGGTTATCACTATCACTGTCCAGCAGCACATAAAATGTTCATAAGGGCCAGGGGTTGTAGCTCAGTGGTACAGGACGTGCCTAGCACACACGAGGCCCTGGGTTCAGTCCCTCGCCCCATATAAAATACTCCCACAATACTCTTATGTTTAAAATGAGACATGTGCTTACCATTCCCTTGGGGAAATTCACAATTAACATCAAGAGAAACACATGAAATTCCTGCTCTAGTCTGCCCAGGGAACAGATGTTATACTTCCAAGATACATGCTGTAAGAATGATACTCACTGGGTTGAGTGTTTCTTCAACCGAATGATAAATAGTCCACCAGTCTGAAGTCCACTCCCACACATTCCCCACAATGTTGTATAAGCCATAACCATTGGGAGGAAAGGCATCAACCTAAAGACAAAGAAACGAAAAATACTGTCAAACTACTCATCTTGTTTTAAAAATCCCTTTGGTGTATAAATGCACCAAGAGCTGTAATTTCAGAGTATGAATATTACTTTTCATTGCAACTGTCAAAATATAATTTGGCAAACACAAAAACAAAGAAAGATGCTTTTACTTTTTGGCTTTGAGTTCTCAAACCTAAGAGTTTACATTAAATGGCATGAAAACCAGTGAAATTATTTCTAATGGAGTGACTAATACCGACTATAGTCAAATCTCTATTACACTGTGTTTGTGTAGGATTAGTGTTAGCAGGCGAGTTGGAATCCTTTATTATAAACTGGAGTATCCAGAGTGGCTCATGCCAAAATGACTCTGGACAAAGGAAAGGCAGTTTGCAGGGTCCTTTTAAGGGCTGTTCTACTTAGGGAGGGCTCAGGGAGAGGGGGAACACGGGTGGAGTTTCACAGGGGCAGAACTCTGCTAAACTAGTGGGGGTGGAAATTTCACACAGTTCACATAGGTCCAGAAGTCTTTTGTTTACAAGGTAGTAAAGATAACATAGTTGCAGCCTGCTCTACCAAAAGGTCACAAAGATAACATATAGTTGCAGACTCACACCAGATGCAGTGGTCTGCTATGCATTAATTGAGGGGATTCCAAGGGGGAAGGCAACCACCTGGAATCACTGGACTTTACAAAAATGGAGTCAGGCACACAAATGAAGTCCGGGTGGCTATCACATTAGATGATATTCAGATCTTCAAAATCATTAACAGGAATATCACACTGGACCCAACATAAGCCTTGTCATCAGACCTCAGCTTTGCTGGCCACACAATGTCTTTCAGCACTGAGGGACCCTGACATCAATTCTAACCTCTCTAACTGGCTCCTCCCAACTCACCATTTTATCTTTAAGCCTCAGTATTATCATTAGCAAAAAACTGAGAGGACTTATTTTTATAAGGAAAATGTGAAGTCATTACCAAGTATATTAAAAAGGACTTGCAGCCTCTGAAATCTAGATATCTGAAGCACACTATACATTCACCAAAGAATTACACCACATTTCGAAGGCAAGTTCAGACAGCATCACATAACACTGTCACAGACAAAGCACAGAAGCACAGTTTCTATAAAGGGCAAGAGAAAAAATTTTAACAGAACAATAGTAAATCCAAATAAATTTTTTAGTTGCATGACAAAATTTCTTCCAATCTTTTCTAATGAAAATTTTCAAACATACAAGAAAACTTCACATTTGAATGTGAGAAAAATCAGTTATCCTTGGAGGGTTTTTGTTTTTTTAAAAAAATCTTTTGGGGTTTTGTTCCTTTTCCATACTAACAAAGCTGAGCTAAGAATGAATAAACTATCATTCATTTTATGTGGCTTCAGATGGTTGCACATCTATACGTGAATACAGAAGCATCTGCTGCTTAAGCAATTCTGAGCATTTCAATCAAAGTAAGCTACTCTGAAAAGAACTTAATCTAGATAAGTTGGAAGGCTGAAAAATTCCACCACTCTACTTGTACAATCAGCATTCATTATGGAACCATGAGGGCTTATCCACTAGTTCATTCAGTAATTCCATGCACAGCAACTAAAGGCACAGAGGGTTCAGTGACAAATAAGACCTCAAAGAATTTAATGGTAAAATAAAGAAAACAACAACAAAACCCCTAAAAATCCAGTTCTACAGGTTAGAATGGTATGCAAAGAAAATTCACAGAAATTCCAAGTGTGAGAAATTTCTGATGAAAGTTACTCTCTACAAATAGAGCTATCTGAGCAGACACTGAAAGAGAGGTCTGAGTTCTAAGATTAAAAAACACAGAAAGGAGGAGAGGCCAAAGCATCAGTTATTTTTCCAAGAATTTGGAGCTGATTAGAAAGAGCTGAGTAGAATAGCTGGAAGGAGGAAGAAGGAAAAGAAGACATTCATTTCCTTCCAGGACAGAAGGGAAGAACCCAGAGGAGCTAGAGCAATTAAAAAACAGGGGTTAAGGCTACAGCTTAGTGGTAGAGTACAGTACTTGCTGGGAGCCCTAGTACTGCCAAAAAAAAAGAAAGAAAGAAAGAAAAGAAAAGAAAAGAAAAGAAAAGAAACATTCCATTCGGGAGGCAGGAATAATTTCTCATGTTCCTAGAAAATATAAGCAGAGGTGCGCTCAAGAGTCTGCCTGAGATCCCATCTATATACAAACCTTTAGCAGCTAACATTAGGCAAGCACTCTCTGAGTGCTATTAGTCCATAAATAGGAAATAATAGTACTTACTCAAAGGTTTGTGGTTTCTCTCTTTAAATAATTTGATGCTTAAAAGAGGTAAAATCTGGAGGTCAGTATACCCTAAATCACTATATGTGAAAAAAATGAAAATTGTAACTATTCATGGTTAAATTAACCACACAAACTAAAGCTTCCTCCCATCAACCTCAAAAGAAAAGAAATGTAACAGACAAATCCTGCTAACATTCAAGTGAATGAGCTGATATGAATTACAGTAGGACCAAAAGGAATCGATAATGATATAACTGCAGCCTAGCAATATAAATTCAATTTTTTGGACTCATAATGGTGAGCTTTACTAGGTATCAAGTAATGTCTAAAGTAATAAAATGTATAAAAATGTCATACAAGGGAGCCATTTCACTATAGTCCATCCCATTATTAAATCCCTCTTGACTGCCCAGAGCATGTGGATGTACAGCACAGCTCAGGTGAACCTAAGATGATTGTGTCTGTGAGTAACCTCAATTTAAAGACAGAGAACTTCTGCTCAACTGCTGATCACATGGACAATTTTGCCCTTTAGCCTCCAAAACCTTCAATGACAACTGAGATACACAGTTCCACCCAGTCCCATGCTCTTGGCTTCATGATCTACTGCAGCTGCCTTGCTTGTCATAGCTCACCATCCATGAGAGGGATCCAGGCTGTTAAGGCCCTAGAGCAGTGATGGCAAATTTTTTAGAGCTTTCAATGATAATAAACAGCTGGCTGCAGCATGTGTGCCATAGGTTCACCACCTCTGCCCTAGAGTGTCAGGTATGAGTTTGACAGTCCAGTGCCATCCACTTTCAGGGTTAGGTGCACACACAGGTTAGCAGATTCTTATTCTAATGGCCACTACTGTGCTGTCTGTGGCAACTAAAGTCTTTCCTGGGATCTAAAAATTATCTGCATCAGGCACCCCACTGACATTCTGTTCATCTTGCAGCCTCCCTTGGGCTGGCCAAAGTGGAACACTACACACTCTCATTCCACACCATACTCCACATTAGCAAGCTGGGCTTCTCATCCATTTAAAGCCTGAGGAAAGGCTGAGACTGTTTCCTCCCCAAGACCTCTGATCATTTACTTTATTGAATGAAACTATATGACTGCAAAAGCAGCAGCTATTCCGAAGAAAACCTGGGAGGAACCAGTTACCAGATGGTTCGATTAGTCTTTTGCCTCTGTTGAATAATGCATCCATTTCCCATGGGTTTGCATTGGTTTATTCTATGCATAACTCACATATAAGGAATTCAATACATACATAAATGCACTCATAAACCTATTTAGGAGCTAAAATTCTCACACAATCTATCTTTTATATTAATTCTACTCCAAAAACTATAATGTTTTAACTATGAAATCTCAAACTAATTTTCAATTTCTGTTAGGTCAAGTGCCTCCTTGATCTTCATCCTCTCCAAAAATTTCTTGGTCTTGGGGCTGGGGATTTAGCCCCGTGCTTCCACCACCTGCCTCACAAGCAGAAGGTCCCGAGTTCGATCCCCGGTACCCACCCCCTCCCCAAAATTTCTTGGTCTTTTACTTGTTTAGCTTTTCAGTTGAAACGCTGTAATCATTTGGTCACATTCCAAGCAATATATCTACATCACACTTACAAATAGATTTTGGAAGAAGTATTTCTGTGTGAAACAAAAATACAAATGTTTTAAAAATCACAACTGTTTGAAAGATTGTTGAAAGGAAATGACTCTCCATAACAACAAACCCAGTAAGGGTTATTTGCCCAAAAGATTTGCTTTCTCACTGTGTTATCAGAAAGTGTTTTTGCTATGCATGCTGGTGTTCCCTTCAAAATTCATGCTGAAATTTAATCAATAACATAACAGTATTAAAAAGCAGCCTTTGGGAAGTGAGTAAGGGCTAATTAATGGGACTCACATCCTTATAAAAGGACTTAAGGCGAAAAAAGTGTTTTCTTGCCCTTCTGCCTCCAACCATGTAAAGACACAACAATCTTCCCCTCTCAAGGATGCCGCCAACACCAGTCCTTCCAGTGTCTTGATCTTGGACTTCCCAACCTCCAGAACTGTGAGAAGTAAATTTCTGTTCGTAAATAGAAACAGTCTTGGTATTTTGTAATAGTAGCACAAATACACTAAAATATCTTTTAAACAAAGTTTCATTAGTGTATGATTACACCAGCAAAACAGTATTGAAAAAGGAGCTCTTTTGTATGCCAAAAAAGGGAAACATGCCGTAGATATTCTAGAAAACAACTTGACCACATGTCTGAAACTCTTACCAAGAAGGTTTTCCAGGTCTTGGTGATCAAGCATGTACTTAGCCATCCACAAGACACTGGGTTCAGTGCCCAGCACCAAAAACAAAACAAAAAAAAACAATGAGAATGAAAGAAAATTGTCTAAACTTTCACTGCTGGGAAACTATCCTAATACAATTCAGGGTTATAGCTCAATATTTATGTATAAGATGCTCATTGCTGTGCTGTTTAGCTCCCATAAAATACTTAAATCTGTAATAATAAGCAGTAAATAAATTAGGATTTATTCACACAACGGGTTATTCAGCTGCTGAAAGACCGTGTATTTGTGATATACTGTTAATGACAGGTAAAATGTTCCCAACATCGCATGCAGGAAAAGTAGGATTTTAAAAACTATATCCAGTGTGATCCAAATGTTAATTTAAAAAAGAAACATATACACCAGAAATACATATGCTGGCAAATAGTGTAGTCAAAAGAATGAGCAAACAACAAACCAACCTGGCCAAGTGCCAGCTGTGCCACTTTTCTGCTGTATAACACTGGGCAAGATAGTTAACCACTATGTGCCTCAGAGTGCTCATCTAGAAAACGGGGAGCATAGTACCTACCTTACAGACTTGAATGGATAGTAAATAAGGTAATTCAAGCAAATAGTTTAGCACCATGCCTGGCACACTGCAAGCCCTTGATAACTACAGTGTTGCCTCAGTTCATGAACTTGCTTCTTTCCATGTGGAACAAATTTTGCAAGCAGAATCATTTAAATTTGTGAACTGAGATACTATTCTGTACTAGCCATTATCATCATCATCAACACAAAGAATGAATGGGACAAAATACACCAAAATGCTAGCAAGGATCATCCCTGAGTGATAGAATAACAGGTCAGTTTAACTTTCTCCTTTATATTGGTCTTGTTTGTCTAAAATTTCTAAAGCATGTATTATGGAATCAGAAAGAAAAATTCATCAGAGATGAGAATTTGATTAATCACTAGCGTTTGCCCCTTGTGACAGGGAATGGATGCAGGAACAGGGGCATATGCTAGTCAGGAAGTGAGTGATGTCTTTCGCCCCATCTCTGCCAATGCTGCCCTTCCTCAGAAGCCCCAGTACTCACAGGTGCTGTTCCTTGGAAGCCATCCTCTCCAGTGTTGGTCATAGGGAACTCACCCTGCCAGAGGTTGGCATAATGTTGGTCTTTTGGCTGCAGTTTGTTGCCCCAGGGGAAAAGTCTGTCAGGAGAGACATAGACATCAGCCTACAAACAGGCACAGGCTTCTGCATTAAAGTTGAGTAGGAAGACAAGGAAAGAAAGAACTACATTCTTTTGTTCTGAGTAAGCCTTTTAAAAATATATAAATAAAGATTTTAATCAAGATTTAAAAAAATTTCCTTATAACATCTCATGTCAAGTTTACAACCTGAGCCTCTTCCAAGTACTCAAAAGGCCTGAAATAAATCACATCATGAGAAGAATGGCTTATAGAAAGCTGGGCAAGCAGGCACCATTTGAGACTTATTTGGAAGAGTTATCAGGCACTGTTACACCACACTTTTTTATAAAGTCTTCACTATTTTAAGGAGCTTTTCCTAGAAGATGTGACCCAAACATGAGTTTTCTGTCTTATGGCTCTGGAAGTAGAGAAATATCACTGCTTCAGAAGATGCCTAAAATAAGAAAATGCTAAAAGCAAGGAAGACTGCCAGGAAGTTCTAAGGAGTTGTATGTAACATGGTAGGGCTGAGGTGGTAGAACTCGCTTTGGGATTTCAGGAAGTCCATTTGGCCCAATACCTGGCTTTGGGGGCTATAAAGAGATGGTGACTCACTCACAAGTGTCATAAGTAATCTCATGAGGAAGAAGAAAACCTAGTAAGGACAAGGGCTGTTGTTTTTAAATCAACTTTCTAACCAAAGCAAGTTCCACAGTTTAAAAAAAAAAAAGTCACTATATTGTGGACAGGACAGGTCCTTCCATGTACCTATTCTGCAGGCCTCCTCGGCAGCTGTACTCCCACTCAGCCTCTGTGGGCAGCCGTTTCCCTGCCCATGTGCAGTAGGCAACAGCGTCATTCCAGGAGACGTGGAGCACTGGATGATCTGGCCTGGGAAGAAGCAAGAGCAGTCACAAAAGGCACTAATCAATCAGACAAGAAATATGAGCTAGCTCTGGGAAAGCACCCATAATCATCCTCAGTGCAATCAGTGATACCAGCTGGTCCTGGTCCTGAATTTGAGCCCCAGCCATGCCACATCTGATACCTCTACCAAGGTCTAGACTCCAAATGGGTCACAATTCCTCTTGGAACTAGACACGGCATTTATTCACTTAGCAAGGTTGGATTCTCACAGAATTTTACGAGTCAGTCTTTTTCTTGAGGGACAGGCAAGGTATGGTAGCTTGGACTGAATTTCCTTTTCATTCTTTTTTAAGTGGACTACACAATCCTAGCCCATTCCTCATACATCTTTGAATTCCTTTAGTAATTACACTAAGACTTCCATGCTTCCCACAAACATTTACTGAGTACCTATTATGTGCCAGTCACTATTTTCAGCACTGATAAGAGATGCACTTTTCCCAGAATGCTAACTCAGCCAGAATTTGCTACATGAATTGAAAAATAGGCTGCAGATATAGCTAACTGGGTTCAATCCCTAGCACCACAAAAAAGAAAAAGAAAAAAATCCTCCTTAGGTTCTCCTATTCCCCTTAGTTTTTATTTTAGGGGATTTTTCTCTACTGTTAAATTCAGGAGAGAAGATATGAATAGGAGGCTCCTGAGGTGCCTAAGAATCCTATAACTTTCTACCTCACTGTCTATTTGCAGCACAGAAGCTGCTAATTCAGACCTTGAAAGATTTTTAACATTTGTCAACAGGCTATATCCCTAAAGCTGAACTCCATGTACTTCCAGCTCCTGACCATAAGGCCAGTAACCTGAAAGGTTGGTAAAAATAGAGGCTTAAAATACCATCTGAACAATGAGGTTAGGAGGGCAGTGTTCTTGGGCTACTGGGAGGCTGAGTCCTAACCCAAACCACCTTCCTCCATCTCCAGGGTTTAAAGTGTTACTATATTTTTGCTTGAGATAATTACTTCCTCATCACCCTGGAGACTTGCTGACCGACTTGCTGCTCTGTAGTTTTTTAGTCGGGTGGTGGTTTCAAAGTATGCCAATCCAGGACTAAAGATCACGTGGACCCTATACCCAAGGGCTGGGCCTCTATAGTGGCCGCCTGGCAGGATACAACTACTTAACCACAAGATAGTCTTCTTCATCATAATGAGACAAAATAAATGGATAGACTAAAAAACATGCTGTGAGATTTGTAATAGCCCTGTCAAAAGGGGGTCTGCAAGAGGAAACTGACAGCCAAATGAGAAAGGAAAAAATGCTATTTATCAAAGAGGCTTCTGTGGGCTATACACAGTGTTAGATCTTTACACACATTATTTCCGGCCATTCCATTTTCCTACCACTCACTTACAGTTTGGCACACTTGTTACGTGTTTCACAATGAAGACAGCTACTGAGTTCCTTTCTTTTTTCTTTTGGCACTGGGGATCGAACTTGGGACCTTGCAGCAGACCCACTGAGGTAAATCCCCGGCCCAAACACAAAATCTCTCTCTCTCTCTGTTTTTTTTTTGGTACTGGGGATCGAACTCGGGACCTTCCACTTGCAAGGCAGGTGGCGGCACCACTGAGCTAAATGCCCAGCCCACCACTGAGTTCTTTTTCAAGAGCACAGGAGTCTATTTTGAATGAAACATGTCAACTGGATACCACCAAACTCACCTGTGCTGAACAGTAGAGTCAGGCCCCTCTGGGTGTCTCCAATTGGCGCCTTTCACAGGTAACCACCAAGGAGCAGCTGCAACCTCAAAGCAATCCAGAACAGGCTGTTAGCCACAGTGAGTGACTCCAGAGAAGCAATGGACTCAGTATGTGCAGCAAAAATAAATAAATTTTAAAAATAAAAAAATCTCACTAGGTCTTCAGTTCCATTTGGTTTACCAAACATATACCTTTATCAACAATAAAAATGTATATGTAAAGAAATCTTGAACAAAAAAGCACTAACTCCTATAATAAAGCATTACAGTGATCAAGTAAATATGTATTTAAGTGTTCTATACCTCCAAGAATTTTAAAAGATGCACTGCTTGCTAATCCTTTGTAATCTCTAACAAGAGACAGGTAGTAATTCTATTCAAAACATGGGAAACAGTGTTAACCATAAAATTAAGTAGTGGTCAACCAAGTTGATCAGAGAGCAAGCTGAAACAGAGAAGAAAAAACAGAGTATGTTTTTAAGACTCTAGTTCAATTTCCAACTCAACATGGGCTGTGTGACTCCGGATGTGTTCACTATTGTCTGGCCCCTAAGAGCCTTCAACTGTGAAATGGGATTGGATTCACCTATATACCACCTAATTCAGAATCCAGCGAAGGTCAAAACAGGTAAAATTGAAAGTGCTCAAAAAGCTGTTTCTAGGACTATACCTCCTACTTTACAGTTCTGTCAACCAAAATAACAACATGTCTCCCTTCAGGGTGTAGTTAAGAACTGAGGTTCTGCAGCTAGTCAAAATGAGATGTGAACCATGGCTCCGCTGTTCACAATGAGCCTTGGCAACATATTTAACCTCCCCAAGCTGTTTTCTAATTTATAGATACAGTATTCACATCTCCATGTCATTATCAGAGCAGGAAATATAAAGGGTTTAGGGATACACCCTTAGGAACTTAGGCTATGACTTAGGAGGCAGTAATGAAAAACAGTGTCACTGTGTATTGTTTCATGACAGTCACAAGGAAACGCATAAAAATAATCATCACTGTGCCTAATACTAAAGAACGTTAAGTTTACAGACTATTGTTCTAATAGAAATGAGAGCAAACTCAAGGTTATTCCCATGACAATGCTACTCTCAGTCAATTGTATCCTGTTAAGTGTGGCTGAGTGGAAGTGACAGGAGGCTGTTTCCCTGCTAATAATCACCGGAAATACTGAAAGCCTCACTCTTCTTCATTCTTTTTTCACCTCACTCTTGTTCATTTTTTTTCACATCAATACAATCAAAGCATTTAAAGTATTTCAATCAAAAGTTAATGGAAAAAAGACAAACTAGTAAATATTTCAACAAATATTGTGTTGTCCTTAAACAACACTACTGTGAGGTGTTTTATTTTACATAGAGTAGAATTTAAAGTCCTGGTTTCCTTCTATTTCATTTGTGGCACTGCAGAAACTAATCTGAAGATGTCCTCACCTCACTGACCAGACTGCTTGATGTTTAGGCACCAGTGCCAGGCAGTATATTCCATGTCAAGGGAAGGTGTACACAGAAAGCTCCAGTCATGCCACTCTTGTGTTTCAGGGGGATCTTCAGATCACTCACCCAACCCAACTCTACCTCTAGCACTAAGCACCATCACCAGAAGACTGTAGCTCTAGGTGGGAATTTAGCTTAGTTGTGCTGCCGCCTGCCTCGCAAGTGTAAGGTCCTGAGTTCGATCCCCAAGACCCCCCTTCCCAAAAGACTGTAGTTCTTAAATTTTTTTTAAAAAGGCTAAAATAGAGAAAAATGACAAAATGTGGCACTATGTTAACCTTTGTTAAATTTGGCTGATACTATGGGAGACTAAAATGCCTTTTTTTCGCATATCCTTTCATGTTTTGAAATACTTCATCATTAGTAATTTTCTTTAAAAACCCATAATTTATCCATTCTACTACTAGTGGACACTTGGGCATTTACAGTTTGGGACTATTATGAATAGTGCTGCTTCCGTGAATATTCTTCAAAGAGTCTGTGGCTTTTGGTAAATATATATATGGATTTCTGTTCATGGTACACTGTGGAAAAGAACTGCTGGATTGCAGGATATATATCTGCCCAGCTTTAGAAGAGACAGCCAGAAACAAGACAGTGGCAAAAGTCCCTAAAGTTTCCTACCCCTCTTAAAAGAGGGGTTCCCAGAGGGTTGGCGTACATACAGAAGATCTGCAGGCAGCTACTCCAAGGGCCTGTCAATCCATTTATTTTTCCCATCCTTTCCCCTTTTATTCAGACTAGCTACAGATTCTTACTGAGTGCCTACTATATGCCAGGCACTAAGCCTAATTCCTGAAGGGGAATCTATAAGACCCAGGAATCCTCAGAGCATGATCTAAGACAGTTGGTATATTGGCAGGTTTTTAATTATTTGTTTTATATACACTAATTATTTTTTCACTTCATTTTTCTTCAAAAATATCTCCAAAATTCAAATTCATGAGTCCAGATACTACCTTATATTCATCAGTGTTACAGTTTCTGATTTCATCCTTCCCCCATTTTCTGTCAATCTAGACATCTGCTTTTCATTTTTCCCAGTGTTTCTTTTCCGGAAGTTTTCATATTACTTGAGCAATCTACCCAAGACAAACCAATGGCTTACAAGTCTTGAAGTCACAGAGCTATATGACAATCACCAATCTCAGTCACGTGCAGAGAGAAACAGAAAGAACACACTGGCTAGAGCATGGAGAAGGGGACACCAAGAGAATACTTCCTTAACCAAGGGCTGCAACCTAGTTTCTTGGTCCAAAGTAGTAAGACCTAAAGCAAGTATGAAAAGATGTATGTATAGTAAATCTACATATACCATAATACTGTTTATAAACAAAAATTACAAAATAACACAATTTGATGTCCATCCATACAAAGGAATACAAGTTAGTTATCAAAATGCATTGAGACACAGAAATGTATATACAGTATGTTATAAAGGTAAGCACACGTATTTGATTGTTCCTGTAAAAGATGCAAAAGGATGTATGTATCATGAGAAGAAAAAAGTCTGGAAAATATACACACTTAATGGGTGAAGGAGTAGGAGGGTAATACACTGATTTAGAATGAGCATGTATCACTCTTAGCAGGCCTTCTCAACGTTAGCACTAGTGACATTTTAGGCCATGTAAGTCCTTGTTACTGGGGAGGCTTGTCCTGTGCCTGTGGGTGTTAACAGTATTTCTGACCTCTTCCCACTAGATGCTAGTTGCATCCAGCACATAAAATGTCTCTAGACATTACCAAATGTTCCCTGAGATGAGCAAATCACTGAATGAACTATAATTCGGGTGGGATTACTCTTCTTAAATGTTAACTGATAGCTCCTAGTAGCACAGAGGTACTGCCTGAGTTTGAGCAGTAGTAGCAAATTTTATAAGATACGGAATCTTGGACTCTCTACCTTCTTTAGACTCCAGTTTACTTATCTGTGAAATGGAAATAAAAATATTACTATCTACTTCTTATGGTTTCATGAGGAAAAATAAGTAAATATATGCAAAGTACTTAAAAGAATAGTACCTGTTACAGAGTATTAGCCATTATTGCTATTATTCATTTTTGTTATTGCATGTTACAATATTCTTCAAAGAACATGTATTTTAATTAGTGAAAATATAACCCCAATACATAGTTCTTCACTTTGGACCCCACCCCCAGCCCGGTTCACCATTTTCAGAACACTGATAGGCTGAGAAAAGTGCCTGAGGGATAAGAAGCCAAGTAAGAGTTCAGAGGTGATTGCAATATACAGTAATGTTTAAATTTTTTTTAAATGTATTACAGTAAAGACACATTGCCAAGAATGTTGGGATAAGTGTGCTCAAAGCAAGGGAGAGTATTTTGAGGGCAATTAATGGAAATATGTCTTTTACTGTAATCATTTTTTTAAACATCTTTCATCATAGTCATGCTATGAATCTACACATAAACTAACCTGTTCATTGAAACAAAACAACATGAGAGTAGGGCAAAGAGAAAGAGTGAGTGATACAACCTTCATACTAGACAAAGTTTCAGCATCTATAAGGAAACTAAATGACTCTCCTGTCTTGTCTGTAAGACAGACCATAAGTCACCACTGTAATGGCCAGATGCAGGGTCAGAATCCTCATTTGACACAAGAAGAGGATTTAAGTTATCAGTTACTCCACAACTAAGAAGAATTGATAAAAATCAGAGGTAAGACCTCATTCGTCCTAGCCAAGTTGCTCTGGAAAAGCCATGATATTTTCTGGCAAAATTTATAGCAAATCCCCAACCCATGTCAATGGATACCTTTCTTTTCCAAATGTCACTGTTAACTCAATGCTTTAAAAAACTTATACTTGAACTCCTAGTTCTACCTTAAAAATAAATGCTATCTACTATGTTTGGGAACTTTTACAAAATAAACAACTTTCGAGAGCTACATATTATCAAGTTTATGGTGCATATGACACTTCTAATTCCTTTTCTTTAATAGGAATAGTCCTAAAGTGTGTTGTTTACAGAGCAGAAGCACTAACATGACTGGCATATCTGATCAACCTCATCCTAAAAAGAGATCACATTTTTGGGAAGTGGCTTCCACCTACACATTTTCTGGTCAACCGAGACAACTTCCAAAGTTTAGCACTCCCTTATATTCAGGGCGAAAAGGACTTTAACATGACCTACTTCTAGTCAACCATCTCCATAGCAACTGTCTTGGGTTTAAACTGAAACAGCTGTACCAGCCAGCCAGGGGCCAGCTACAATGTAAATAAGATTCCTGTGAGTACTGCTGTCCCTGAGAAACAAGACTACTTCAGAGAGCCAAGACATTTCCTACCTCTCCCAAGGGTCAGAACCAGACTTGTAGTAACAGCTGGTAAAAAAGGAAATAGGAAAACAGCAAAAGCACCTTTATTCCTGCCAGAGGTGGTAAATTATACTTCTTTATATACACATCCCAGAATAAAATCAGCACAGGAAAAAGACAGAGGACTATGTAATTACGCATATTCAAGTATAAAGATATCAAGTTCACAACTTTACAACTGCTCTCTTAGAAATGA